GACAAATTGCAAGAGTTTCACGGATTGAGGGCGGGTGGTTTTTAAAATGTGGCTCTCGCCTTAGTGCCGCACCCATTCGCTTTTTGATTCAAAATTTGCGAGGGCTTCACTGATGGAGGGCTGCTCCTTTTCAGAATGTGGTTCTCGCCTTAGCGCCGCGCACATTCGTTTTTTTGTTCCAAAAGTTGCAAGAGTTTCACATATGGAGGGCTGCTCCTTTTCAGAATGTGCCTCTCGCCATAGCGCCGCGCACATTCGTTATCAAAATTGCAAGAGCTTCACGGATTGAGGGCGGATCCTTTTCAAACTGTGGCTCTCGCCTTAGCGCCGCTGGCACATTCGTTTTGACAAATTGCAAGAGTTTCACGGATTGAGGGCGGGTGGTTTTCAAAATGTGGCTCTCGCCTTAGCGCCGCACCCATTCGCTTTTTGATTCAAAATTTGCGAGGGCTTCACTGATGGAGGGCTGCTCCTTTTCAGAATGTGGTTCTCGCCTTAGCGCCGCGCACATTCGTTTTTTTGTTCCAAAGTTGCAAGAGTTTCACATATGGAGGGCTGCTCCTTTTCAGAATGTGCCTCTCGCCATAGCGCCGCGCACATTCGTTATCAAAATTGCAAGAGCTTCACGGATTGAGGGCGGATCCTTTTCAAACTGTGGCTCTCGCCTTAGCGCCGCTGGCACATTCGTTTTCAAAAAATCCAAGAGTTTTACGGGTTCCCATGATCAATGTACCAGAAAGGGTATTTTGGAAAGGTTCAAGATTATCGGATGCAACAGTTAGGTTGATCCGCGGTGTTGAAGATCCAAAATGGCGGTCGGGCACGATTCCGGATCGTCAATACGCAGCAGTCAGGTTGATACGTGGCATTAAAAATCCGAGAGCAATGTTTTGGTATGCTTCAGGATCTTCAAACGGTTGTCTTCCAACGAGGCAGTTCCCTCAGTGGAACGGAACCGTTGTGGGGGCCTATGAAGAGAGAGCTTGGAGGGAGGGTGAATTCCAATATCGTTGATGACTCTTGGCTTTACACTGGTCTTCGTCCTCATCCTCATCCTCATCCTCGTCCTCATCATCCTCAGCATCAAAAGCAGCAGGTTTTTGCAGGTTTCCCGGGTTCTTGCAGGTTTTTCTGGTTCTCCCCTTTTCAGTCCCAGAAGGGCCCCAGACGGCCCAAGAGGCCACAAAGATCGTCCCAAGACGGCCCCAGAGGCGCCCCAAAGGAGCCCAAAACGGTCCAAGCGGGCTCCCAGACGGCACAAGAAGCCCCAAAGATCGTCCCAAGACGGCCCCAGAGGCCCCCCAAAGGGGCCGAAAACAGTCTAAGAGGGGCCCCAAAGAAGGCCCCAAGACGGCCCAAGAGGGCCCCCAGACGGCCCCAAGAGAGCCTCAAGAGGGCCCCAAGAGGCTCCAAAACGGGCCCGAAGAGGCGGTACGGGGTCTGGGCTGCTTGGGTGTAGGGACTGGGCTGGCCCAAAGACAGCCATGGGAGCCGCCCAGGAGCCGCTTCACTCGGAAAAGTACAAGGGAAACTGGCCATTAGACCAATCTCTTCGGGCTTGCCCCCTCCCCTGGACCCCCTTGGCTTCGCCCCCTGCGAAACGTCTCTCGCTTGTACCTCGCTTCTTCCGTCACCTGCTTGGCATGGGGACGGAAAACACACTTATATTGTAAGGGCGCGAGGTGGCTGGCTTAGTGTCTCTTAGAGCCCTGTTGGTGTTAAGGCTTCTGCACGACACATCAAAAATCTAGCAACCAACCTTGCGAAAATCCATGTAAATATTGCATATCCAAGCCTTCCTAGGGGTCCTTTTGGGGCTCGTTTGGCCCGTCTTGGGGCCTTTTTGGGCCGTCCCGGCTGTTGGGCCGTCTTGGCGGTGGCGGGCTTGGGCCGTCTTGGGGCCCTCTGGGAGCCCTCCTGGGTCCCCTTGGAGACCTCCTGTGGCCCTCTTGGGGCTCTCTAGGGAACCTTTTGAAACCCTAATCGGCCTCTCTTGGGCAGTCTTGGGGCTCTTTTGGGCCGTCTTGACGCCCACTTGGGCCGTCTTGGGGGCCATCTGGGGCCGTCTTGGGGCGGTTTTGGGGGCTTCCTGGGCCGTCTTGGACGCTGTGGAGACCAAAGAGGCGAGTATGCTGAAAATGTACGGTGTCCGGAGGGAATAAAGACGATGTTTGCCTCTTGGGGGTCCCCTTTGGGGGCCTCTTGGGGCGACTTGGGGGCCTCTTGGGCTGTCTGGAAGCCATACTGGGCCCTCGTTGAGCGCTCTTTCTTCCAACTAGCGGATGGCGGCGCTACGCGCGCTTTCCGTCATCTGGGCGCTCGGCTGCCTACCCCCCACACACCTCTTGTTATTTCTCCCGACTAACCGATCGCGACGCTACGCGCGCTTTCCGTCATCTGGACCTACGGCTGTCCACCCCCCCACACCCCCCCTTTTATTTCTCCCGACGAACGGAACGCGACGCTACGCGCGCTTTCCGTCATCTGGGCCTACAGCTGCCTACCCCCCCACACCCCCCTTGATATTTCTCCCGACGAACGGAACGCGACACTACGCGCGCATTTCGTCATCTGAGTCTAATCCTGCCTGACCCCACACACACACCCCTTGTTATTTCTCCCGACTAACAGATCGCGACGCTACGTGCGCTTTCCGTCATCCGCCGCCCCCTGTTGGCTCGCCACAGGGGTGCCTGGCGTGCTGAGTTGTTGTACGGTATGTTTTTTGTTCTCTTTCCAAAAGAACTCTCCCCTGGGGCTTCGGCCCGTCCCGCCGGCCATCCAGAAGGGACCGGAAACGAGCACAGCGTGCACAAAAATTCCCCAGGACGGCTGAAGATGGCTTCCAAGAGGGCAAGATGGCTTCCAAGTTCGCCCAATAAGGTCCATGATGGCCTCAAGACGTTCCAAGAGGGCTCAAGGTACCTCCAAGCCCGCCCAGGAAGCCGCCAAGACGGCCCAAGCTGGCTCCAGGATGGCCCAAGACGCTCCGAGACGACACCAAGAGGCCTCCAAGACAGCCTAAGAGGCCTCCAAGAGATCCTCCAGGAAAGCCTGAAGAGACCAAAATCACGGATTTCCCGCAGGACTTCAAGGATTTCGACATTTGCATCTTTTCGGCGTTCTGACGGCCCGAGACGGCCCAAGAGCCCCTGAATATTGCCCCAAGATCGCCTAAGAGGCCTCCAAGATGGCCCCAGAACGGCCCAAGATCGCCCAAGATGGCCCCAAGAGGGCCCAAAGACGACCCAAGAGGCCTCCGAGACGCCCATGATGGTCTCCAAGACGGCCCTGGAAAACCCCAAGGGTGCCCTAAGTCGGCCCAGCGAGGCCCCCAGGACGGCTTCCGACGGCATCAGACGGGCCAGGAGCCCACCAAGACGGCCCAAGATGTCTCCAGGATGGCCCAAGACGGCCCAAGAGACCCTCAAGAGGTCTCCAAGACGGCCCCAGAGGCCCCCAAGCGGGCCTCCAGGAAGGCCCGAAGAGGCCAACATCATTGATTCCCCTTAGATTATTGACGGATTCTGGAATTTGCTTATTTTCGGCCTTCTGGTGGCAAGAGATGGCCCAAGAGTACCAAAAATCGCCCCAAGATCGCCCAAGAGGCCTCCAAGATGGCCCCAGAACGGCCCAAGAGGCCCACAAGACGGCCCCAAGAGGGCCCCAAGACGGCCAAAGAGACCTCCACGACGCCGAAGATGCCCTCCAAAACGGTCCCTGAGCACGCCAAGAGGGCCCCAGGTCGGCCCAGAGAGGACCCCAAGACGGCTTCCGACGGCGTCATACAGGCCAGGAATGCCCTAAAACGGCTCAAGAGGCCTGCACACTAAAAAATGTACGGTTTGAGGGAGTTCCAAGGTTTAACCGACGATCGTCTTGGGGCCTGTTTGGGCCTCCTGCAAGCCATCTTCGACTTCACTCGGCATGGAATCGATCCGTGTTCGGGCCATGATTGGCTCGTCCAGGGAGAACTACAAAAGGGCGGACAATGAACGCGACGCGTCTTGGCTCTAACCCGACGGCAGCAACGGAAACTAAAGACTGATGTTGGCTATGGTTTCAGGTCGAACATCCCGGCTTCCTCGGGTGCCCTTACAAACAAGAACCTCAGCGAACGGGGCCCATGGAAGAAAGGAAGGACCTACGATCCGCCCTGACGGAATTCGCAAGCTGGTGGCCCGGCTTCCTGTGAGATGCTGTTGTGGTTTCTTGCAGGCTGCTCTCTGACCCCTGCACTTGCCAATCGCCCACGGAATATACCCTATACCTCGCATCCCCTCTACCTCACATTCCTTCTACCCCACATCCCTCTATCTCACATCGCATCCACTCCACACCACCTCCCTCTACCTCACATCCCCTACCTCACACCCCTCTACCTCACATCCCTTCCACTCCACTCCACCTGCCTCTACCTCCATCCCCGACCTCACATCCCTCGCCCTCACATCCCTCTACCTCACATCCCATCCACTCCGCTGCACCTCCCTCTACCTTCATCCCATATCTCACATCCCTCTACCTCACATCCTCTCCACTCCACTCCACCTCCCTCTACCTCCATCCCCGACCTCACATCCCTCTACCTCACATCCCTCTACCTCACATTTCTCTACCTCACACCCCATCTACCTTCACATCCCATCTACATCACATCTCTCTACCTCACCTCCCCTCCACTCCCTCCCTCCACTCCACTCCACTCCCTCTATCGTCTAGACCCCTTTACCTCACATCCCCTCCACTCCACTCCCATCCTCTGTCCCCTCACCTGTCCCTCCAGTTTACCCCCCCGTCCCTTCCGCATTCCCCCCTCGCTCCTTCCCCCCCCCCGCCGCCGCCCTCGCCCCCCCTCGCGACGCACGTGGCGAAGGCGGAGGGGACGCGGGGTTCACGGCGCGCGAGATGGAGAAGCGCCCCTGCTGGAGCTCCGACTTCCAGAAGACGGCGGGCTTCATAATCGACATCTCAATGGACCCGACCAGCGCTCCGATGACCTGCGCCCGCCGCCTTCTCCTCTCAACCATTGCTCAGTCCTCATCCTCCTCATCATCCTCCTCATACTCCTCATCCTCCTCCTCCCAATAATCATCTTCCTAATGTTGAAGGCCACTCCAGAATGTCAAACTCTCCTGAGAAGCACGCAAATGTTTGAGGGCAAGAAAAAATCGACCCCCACACCCCAAATGATGGACTCTGACCTGATCTTCCGCTTCAAGCGGCGCCCTCTCTCACGCCGAAGAATCTCTCCGCTCGAACGGGAACGAGAGCGCGTGACAGTGCAACCAATACCCGGCTACCAAGCATTTGATAGCGCGCACCCTTAGCATTGTCGTGCTCATGTGCGCGGTGAGCATCGGATCAGGGGTCATCTCGGGCAACGGCGGACCGCAGTCCTCTACCCCCGCGAACGGCCCCAGGGCCCCGGCCCCCCCCCCGGGGCCCCCTCCAAAAAGTTGTTCCTAACTCGATGCTGAATATATATACTAACGTTTTCTCCCGCGAGAAATCGCGAGCGGGAACGCCCCCCTAAGTTCTCATAAACAGCAAAGCTGGTCGCTGGGCGCCGCAAAGCCGCAGACTGGACTCCCCTGAGGCCAGGCAACACCGTTGGGATGCGAAGTGGGATTCGCCCCCCAGGGGCGAGGGGGTGCCCGGGGGGAGAAGAGGCGGCAGAAGGGGGCGGGGGAAAGGAAGGGGGGGGGGAAGGACAAGAAAGAAGGGGGGGAGAAGGGGGAAGGGCGAAAGCGAGGGCGGCAGGGCCGCCGCGCCTCGGACTGGGCCCGCAGCGCGGCGGCCGGGAGGAAAGGGCCGGCCCCGGCCCGCGCCAGCTGCCGCCGTGCAGAGGCGGCGTGGCGACCGCGTGCGCCGGGAGCCCCGAGCACGAAGAAGGGCTGCGCGAGGCATTCAGCGCGGCGGGGAGCGAGGCCACGTGGCGCGGTGGCGCGGAGACCACGCAGGGTGGCCAGGAGTGCCCTGCGAGCTCGGAGGAACGGTGTGGAGGCGACGCTAGCCGCAAAAGACGCACGGCGCCAAGGCGAACGCGGAGGAAGGCCGCTGCGAGATGGCCCACGGCTCCGACGGGTCCGACGGGGAGGAGGAGGAGGAAGAGATGCACCTCGAGCAGGCGTGCTCCGAGTGCTGGCCAAACCATGCGGCAGCCGAGCTCGCGCCCGAGACGCACCACAGTCAGGCATTGCAGTGCCGCGAGCATCTGAACAGCACACCGGTCGACGCTCAGCGAGGCCAAGAGCATGGCCAGGAGCTTCATGGACCTTGCCAGCCAGGACCACGTACTTCAACAACGAGAACCCATTGGCCAACGAGACCGAGAAGGGGCACATGGCCTACATCGTGATCTCGGCGTCGCACCAAAAATTAGATCAATTCATTATGCGCGTAGCCACCCACATGCGGCAGGAGCTCGAGGAGGTTCGCGATGAGACAGGTATATGTGTCTTGCGGTGCTGAAGGGAGCTGATTGAAACATGTAAATAGTGATTATGTTTGGCCCTGACTGCGTCCGTCGCTTCACGTTCCTGATGAGCGTAGTCGTCTTGGGTTGTGAAAGGACGCAGTTCAGTGTGGCAGGTGTGATTGGTGTGTTGCGAATCGCATTGTAGTATTGGCAAATGCCTTCGTTGTCCGCGAGCTTGACTCCTTCTTGTTGTGCGCAGTGTTTGGTGAATTCGTCTTATTGCTGCTCGTCGTTCTCTAATACGATGCCTTGGTCGTCTGTGAAGTAGGGCGTGGCTGGCGTCTTGGCGGCACTCTTCCTCGAGGTGGCTCCGCATCGTACTGCTGCCTTTGCGCGTTGCCATGCTGACTCGTGGAACTGCTGGACGCGATTGGATAGTGAGGGGATGTGGTCGGTTCTATATGTTTGAGCTGTTGACCACGCGGTGCCCTGGTTGCCACTAGGAAGCGTCGCATTGCTAGCTCTGCGTCGCGTTGGGCGTCGGCCATCGAAGTGCATAGTGCTAGGCGTAGCATGCGCGTGCGTAGGTCGGTGGGTCTGCCACCGAGGTATTTTGCGACGTGGCTGTTGAGTTTGATGTGGCATGGCTGTGGCGCTCGTGTTTCTGCTTGGACGAAGCACAGCTGCAGCGCGTCGTCCAAGTCGCATACGCTTCCCCGCGTCGATTGCGACGCAGGCCTGACGCGGTGCAACCTCGTCCGCTGGGAAACATAGCGCGTCTGCTGCGTGAAGTACTTCGGTCGCCAGCTGGCGGTGCTGGTTGATGTCCGTGCCCCAGGATGGCAGTGGCTGGTCGTCGAAGAGGTCCGCGAATTCCATGTTGTATCTCCGCTGGATCACATGGCGGCGGTCTTGCGTTTTGCTTTGTCGAGGGGGGGGGGCGAACGATGGATAAGTAAACGGGGAAGTGGTCTTAGTTCCTGGAACCTGAGCCATGGCTATGGTCGCCGTAGAGTTCGGCGACACACGGCAGCCAATCGTCGGCGCGAGCTATGTAACTATTTATGTGATTCGTCTGCTTGCCCATCACGCGTTGCACCAACGCGCGAGTAGGTTCGCGGTTGCTTTCGGCATGTGCGCAAATAAGGCCGGATGCTGCCATAGTAAGTCGTACTTGCGTCGCGATGTCGTCGCCGCCAGCTCGCTGCCGCGTCGGCGGTGCTACGTCGCCTATGCCTGGCGAGACGTCGGCGTCGATGTGCACGTTGAAATCCGCCAGCATGATTGCGGGTGGTCAGTTGCCCGCTAGGTTGCGAAAGTATCCCCGCCATCCGTCGGCGCACCTGGCGTCGCGGTGCACGCGAGGCGAGGCGCGCGTGCCCCGTAGATGGTTTCACTCATGAGTGGTGCTCGTAGATTGATGATGAGTAGTCTGTGGGAAGGTCGGAGAACCCCAAAAAATGCGCTTGCATTTGACGTAGAGCTGTAGTTTGGGAGTCGCGACGCATGGCATTGCTGCGCTAACCAGTACACTGCAGCCCAATTTGGATGGGCGCTGCGGAGTAGTAAACTGCATGTAGGCGCATGCTGCGCTGCAGTCGCTCCGCGCCGCGGTCTCTTGGATGCCCAAGATGTGGACCTTGTGGAATAGAGCTTATGCTCGTGCATGCTGTCCTCTGGTCATGTGGTGTAGAGCTTGTATGCATTTTCATAAGTCATCGCTTGCGCATCAACGTTGGCTCCCTGTGCGTTGCATGCAGCTCTGTCGAGGTGCGCGCGGTCGTCGCGTCGTCTGCAGTAGTAGTTGCCGCGCGCGGCCGTGCGTCGCCGCCGTCCTGCTCCTTACGAGCAAACGGTGTAAGTTGTCGCGCAACTTGGGTGGAACACCGCAGGCCGCCCCGTTGGATCATTGGGCAGGCGCAGTCGTCATCGGTTGGGCCTCTTTGGTGCATGCGTTCTTGTGGTCGGTTAGTCGGTTTTGTGATAGCGCGTCGGGTTGGAGGGGAGAAGACTGCACCCTGCTTGGAATGCGTCCGCGCCGGGATGAGCAGACCCGCCCTCGCCTCGCGAATGCGTCTGCTAATTCGCCCCAAGCACACGGTGCGATGAGGTGGCGCGACGTTTGAGCGCTTGGCGGTGCAGTACTTGATCAGTTCGAGTGATTGGTTCGTCGCCGTAGGGTAGTTGATTGAGAATGCAGACGGCGTTGGCCGAGTCTGCGCGCACTTGCTCGCGCATGCGCGGTGTCTCCTGCGCGGCGTACCATGTTTGTTGTTGTTGAGCTTCACGTCGTCGTGGCATGTTTCTGGTATGCTGTCGGTCAGTGTTTGGCACCCCCTCGTCGCATATGCTGCGAGGTCTGGGTTGCTACCGAAGCTCGATTGTGATACGTAGTTGTTGTTGCTCGCTTTATGTGGCTGGTGGTTGTTTTGCCTTTGGTAGTGGTGTAGTCGCTCGCTGCTGTTTGGGAGCGTGTGGTTGTTGAGTCCAGTATGGTGTCGCTGGAGCTGTTCGGTCATAGTTGTCACGTTTCTGCTGTTGGTGAAGTGATTGTGCTGGATAGTAGGTCGGAGACTGTTGGGCTGGATTTGCGCATCCGCTGTGGCCCATTGGCTGCCAGGTTGGTCTTGTGCCTTTGCAGCATGGTTGTTGCTGGTGGTGGAGCTTTCCCTTGGGGGTTGCATGTGGCCGTACATTGTGTCGGTCGTCTGTTTGGATGGCTGCAACGCGCTGTGATGCTGGTTGAATGAAAGCTGTGCGGTTTGTAGCTGTTGGTTGGTAGGGGTTGGTCGAGTAGTAAACGTGCCGATGCTACTCGCAGCACTATGCGTGCCGCTGCTCGCTTGTCTCTTCCCCTGCGATGCCAAGCAGGGTTGAAAGAAGTCGTCAAAGTCGTTTTGGGGGTGGGGACTTGGCCAACATGTCCCTGAGAGTGGTGCTAGTGTGTTGGTTGCTGGGCATAGGACGTTGATGCCGAAGCCATGAACCTGGCGTGGTGCACCGTAAGCCGAGGGAGACAAAACATCCAAGATGTAATGAGTGAAAGGATGGGATGTGTGTATGGGGGGATGTCAAACAGTGTAAAAAGGGTATGGTGTATGTTAGGAAGCTTGCGTTTGTGGCTGGGCCCCTAGGGCTGCCGCCCTGCCACGCGCGTCTGGGCCCGAGGTTTCCTCCTCCTCCTCATCCTCCTCCTCCTCCTCCTCCTCCTCCTCCTCCTCCTCCTCCATCTCTCCTCCCCCTCGCCCATTCTCTCCACCTCGTGTCCACTCTCCCCATTGGTTTCCCTCCTTCCCCCCCCCCCCCCCTGCGGACCGCATGGTCCGCAGAGGACAGCTGCCTCGCGGGCTGCCCACAGGCAGCGGACATCGCGCGCACCGCGCGCGGCCCCGCCGCAGATGGGCAAAACGCCCAGCCGCGGACCGCGCGCGCGGGGCCGCCGCGCGCTTTCGGAGACCGCCAAGCTGAAAGAGGGGGAGGTCGTTCTCCTCCCCCGCCTCCTCGAGATCTGTCATTGCACCGACCTTGAAGACGTGCTGCAGCGGATTTGCGCGTGGATTTCTGTCAATGCAGAACCCC